ATCTGCAAGTTAATTGTATTGGTTTATGATAAACAAATGGAACGTTTGTGCAATATGGAATTCTAATATCTTTGTATCTCTGGAATTGTTCAATTTGTTAATATCCGGGCCAAAGGCCAATCTGTAAAATACACTTTACATATTGCCAATAATTATCATTAGCACTCTGTTACACGCAAATTAACTATGTTAACTCATGTAAATGATTGAAAGAACTTATGTGCTTCTGTACAACCCTGAGACTAATCTGTTCAAATGATACCTGGGATTATTCTGTTTTGTTTACCGTTCTATTTATCTGGGCTTAATGCCGTTCTGCTTGTCTGGGCTAATGTCGTTCTGTTTATCTGGGCTTAATGCCGTTCTGTTTATCTGGGCTAATGCTGTTCTATTTATTTGGGCTAAAGCCATTCTGTTTATCTAGGCTTAATGTCGTTCTGTTTATCTGGGCTAATGTCGTTCTGTTTATCTGGGCTTAATGCCATTCTGTTTATCTGGGCTTAATGCCACTCTGTTAGAAACTAGGCCTAAGGCCGTTCTAGAAATAATTACAGCATTAGATTAACTACATGTCTTTTGCATTTATATACGCATTGACTTGCATTATACTTCCCCTAATATTTTGTTATACACCCCATTATGGGGCTGGGTCTGTAAATATATATGTATACATAGCTAATTTCTTAGATACACGTTACTATGCGTCTATCTATCCGATGCAAAGTTTGTGATCCTGGCATGATAGTAATAGCTCGATGGATGTAGTTTTATGTTATTGTACGTTAGTAAGTGCTTCCGTTCAGGCCTCATACGTTATGTATACCAGGTTAAGTGTCCATTTCTGAATAGGTCATGCCCAAACTTTTAGGGGCGAGTTTAGGGTGTGACAAGTGGTATCAGAGCACGAGTTGCTATCTCACACACGAATCCATTAAGCCTTAGGATGTCTAGGAAGGACTTAGGCATCACGCATAATATCCTTAGTGCATATGAAAAAGATTGATGGCAACGATACTTGTGTGCGTAATACTTGCTAACCGCAATGAATACTATCCATATCTATTGTATATCATGCGCGCTGTAACAAGCCCGCAGGGGACCTCGCTACAGCTCGGACTCGATTTGTAGTCACAGTTCTAAATCTTGAACCCAAGAGTCCAAATCCGGCAAATCGTTTTGAGAAAACAGATTTTTGAAAAGAAGTGCCAAACATGGACTGCTTTGCCAGATACAGAGTCGCCACCTAAATATTTTATTTTTGGGAAATTTAGGAAACCCTGACTCGTTGCCAAAGGCCACGTGTCCGTCATCACCAAAGTTGCTTCGGCTCGGGAACTTGGGCACGATTGGGGAAGGTCACTTCGTGAGCACCCCCGCTCGCCCGGTCAGAGACTGGCCTCTACTAACCATGATATCTATTTTTGAAAACATTGTATGTTCTGGAGAGTCCTCGGCAGAAGGCGCCGAAGCCCGCTCGGTCTACGATGCGTCGGACTGCGTCAGGGAGCTCATCATACCACTCCCGAGCGCCATTGATATTGACAGGTTTAGAATTTTATATTATTTTGTGTGTGGTTTTGATTGATTGCTTGAATTAGATGGTTGGATTCTTGGTCTAAAGAAACTAACAAAATGCATAGGAGACCAATGTGTAATAACTCATGTCTTTGTCAGATTGATTCAATTCAGTTAAATTGATAGTGTTGGGCAATAGGAAAATCAACTTATATTGTCTTTTGGGTATAAATATGATAGTTTCGTGATTTCATTGTAAAAGAACAACATTTCATCGTAAAGAACCACCTGTGCCTATGACACTCCAAGTTTATAAATAAAAAAATAAAAAAACCACATTCAAGTTTTTTTTAGGGAATGTTTTAGATCACAGTTTTGAGCACTCAAGTACGATCTCATCAAACATTCCAGTTTTTTATCTTATTGAGGTGGTGGTAATTTTCACTTTATGGTTAAGCCTTCTAATTGTTGAATTTAAAAAAGCCTTCTAATCGTTTCATTAGGCACTACCTAAATATAAAACTTTATTACACATAAATTGTTCGATCTCTTCTCATCACTAACATAATTTTTTTATTTTTTTTGAATCCTTGGGACACAATTAGAGTGATATATTTTGACTTTGACTTTTAAATTTATTTTTTCCTTCAAATTTCAGGTGTATAAAAGTGGCAATTGTCCATGATATTGCAAAAGATAACATCTTTGTATTTAAATTTTTTTATTGGGTTTTTCATTACGCATTCTTTTGCTGTGATGAGTATATTGAAGAAAAACAGTGATAGTGAGAATTTTGAGTAAATTGTTGTATAATAATTAATTGGGCAAAGTTTTTTGTCATGAGCCTACCAGTAATGGGATTCCAAATTAGATGCAATTATTTATTTTCATTTGTTTTCATGTATTATCTAAATTGTTAAATTCTTCATGTTCAATTGGAAAAGGAAAAGAAAGAAGAGTTATACTTAGCAATTCATATTCATTAAGCAGCAACAGGTGAACTCACAAGTTATGATATACACTAATTAAGAGACTTGGGAACTAAATTGAAAGATGCTTGATCATATGTTTAATTCCTGTTAATTCATTGTTATTGGTTTATTTGTTTTTCAAAGGTATTTTGATATGATTGTTCCTGTTACGATTTCTTTTAATTGATTTTTTAAAGTGATTTTTGTTGCAGGGGACTAATCCACCTTACAAATGTTGGGATTGTGTTGTTTTTCTATGCGTGTTGATGGTTGGCTCTTTCATTCTAAATTGGATGATTAATTTTTTTTCTTTTTTCTTTTTTATTTTTTTAAAGCTAGGATGGTTACTCTTTTGTACCAAAATGTTCACTCAGTTATAATACTAATTTAGACATATTCTTTTATTGAAGGTTGTATCATTTTGATTCACTGTACATGTGTTATTTTGGCATAAATATCTTTGTTTATGTTGTACACAACATTTTTATATTATAAATTTGCTATTTAAACTTTAATTACAAAGTTTGCCAAAATTGTAATTTTCTATTTCGACTTATGTGTAAAGTTTTATATTGCAATGAAATTGTTGTCATTTTGAATTAATTTATAACAGTTGATTTCTGTAGCAGTGAAATTGTTACCATTTTGAATTGATTTATTTTAATTAATTTTTGAAAAGTATGTGATACCAACATTATTTACACCGTGCCTTCAGGCACGGGCATGCACTAGTATATATATGGGCAAATTACATATACCTCCCTCGAGGTTTAGCTAAATTACAGATACCCCCTGAGGTTTATATTTTCATAGCAAATTGCCCCCTGAAGTTTATATTTTGATAACAATTTGCCCCCTAATTTGTTATGCAAATACAACCTTCAAGGGGGTATTTGTAATTTCTCAAACCTCAGGGGGTAACTGTAATTTTGCTAAACCTCGAGAGGGGTATATGTAATTTGCCCTATATATATATATGTTTGGATGGCATGATTTTCTAGGTGTTTGGCAAGATTTGGGTTTGGGTTTTTTTTTATTTTTTCCACTAAAGCACAAAGTTTTTGCAAAATTAAAAAAAATAAATCCAAACAAAATATCATATCCAACTCCATAATCATTTCACTTTTTCTCTCATAAACATCATATCCAACCACAAAAAAACCCAACTATCTTTCCAAACACCAAAATTTTTTTATCCAATAATATCTTACAACTAAAAAAACCTACATAAAAACTCACTTCCTCCTAAACTTGATTACGTCTAATATAGTATATTAACATTAATTATGATTTTATGATTAATTTTATTTATTATACAAATTATAAATATTAAAAATATTTTAAATTATGTTACATCATTAATTGATACATTAATTAGTGTACTAATTTGTGCATATAGCATTAATCTTGCATTTAGGTCATACATTAATGGCTCAGCTTCTCTTCACTTGAGTATACCAATGAATTATGCTAGGGACCCCAAATAAATTATCAAATTTTCTACTAAGCATCTCACATGGGTATAAGACCCACACACATGTGATTTGTGTGAGTCTCACACTCATATAAGAGGTTCGATAAAAAATTTAATAATCCATGTGAGATGCATAGCATTTTTCTTTACCAATTGGAGCGTCTTGTTGAAATTTTGTGAGTTCACCACATAGTTTATAAATTATATAGATGATTCAAATTATTTAATGCATTAGATTTGTTAAGTATTTTATTTTTATAAAAAAAAGGATGTTAATTGAATATTAATACTCATTTGATCATATCATATTTGTATTAATAATTTATTTTTTAAATTACTAGTTGGTCCCCTACGCACGAAACAGTGTCAATATAAATACTTTAAAAATTGTATTTGGTTTGTGAATTTGAAAAGTGACTTAAAAAGGGAAAAAAATTTGTGTAAAATATAGATGAAATGCAGTTATGTTTCTAAAAAATCACATACCAAATCATTCAGTGAATCCAATTGAATAACTAATACACTAATCCCATCAATTATTAACCCCCTCACTAACCTTAATTTTCTATTTTTCTCATTCTTTTTTTTTTCCTCCTCTGTCTATTTTTTACTAACAAATTGTATGAACTCAAAATAATTACAAATAGATGAAATTACAAGACTTAATTGCACAATCTAATACATAAATTACTTGTACTTTCATGACTTTGTAATTATTTTGAGTTCATACCATTTTTTTTTGTTGCAATTTTTCCTTATATATATATATATATATATATATATCTCTCTCAAATGTTCTCTAAAAAATGTAGACAAAAACCCCCAAAGAGAGAAAAATTGAAGTTATTTCCAAAGGAAGTTTTAATTAATGCTCTCTATAGCAGCATAAGTATATGCCAATCCAATTTGGCTCACTTTCTGTATTACAGCCAGCTAAAATGGCCCTAGACATGCAATGTGAAATCAATACATCTCTTATCCATGGATTCATTTGTTGTAACATTCACCATTTTCTCAAGTTGAAATTTTGAAAACACTTGCACACACAAGATGCAATAAAGATTTATATCAAATTAGAGAAGAGTTTTTCAGAAAAATGGAACCACCACATTAATATCCAATGTAAATTGCAGTATCATCAAGAAAAAAGGGCCAATTTTTTTAGCGCACTTGAAGCTTGAGAAACTGGGCAAGACAATGTAAAAACATTAGCATTGGCCAAGTTAAAAGAAGAACAAAAAAGGCCTGCAACAAAATTTGTATGGTATACATGATGTGTGTAAATGCTCTCTCGCTATGTAGAAGCACCGAGTATATCTTCAGTGCTTGTACTGGATTCAGAAGGCGGGCTAGCTTTAACAGTAGGTGGTGGTGGTGGTGGTTTCTTTTCTAGAGGAGGCTTAGTTGGCCTGTTTGGATGAACTTTATCAACTTTCTCTGATGGAATCTCATACTGCAACAAACAACAGATGACTTGTTCAAATTCAACCCCTAAGTGTTGCCAACTAACAGTTAAAAGGAATTGAAGATATATAACAAATAATTTAACATGTAAAGTAAATGTTCTTTCTTGTTTGTATACAACAGATCTTCTACTCAGATTTGATAACGAGCCCAATAATGGAGGCTGAGTAACCTGAAGAACTACATAAGTTAATTTGAGAATAACAGGTGCCTAATAATGGTTTTCTAAGACATTAAGGAAATCCAAAATCTCAAAGATAATTAAGATTCCAGATAAGCCCATGCAAGTAACAAAGGAAAAGACTTTTCGTTGCTTCTCATAAGGGTTTTTATGGAACCAACAAGCCCGATCTCCTGTGGAGCAAAAAATTGAAATAGAAATTCTATGAAGCATGTTGAATGAAAGTTCAACATTGGCATAACTATAAGACAAACAAAACCAATACGTTAAACTCCTTGAAATCAAGCTCACCTTGTAACCACAGCCAGTCACACAAGCATGGAAGCATTCCCGCATGCAAAAAAAAGAGCAATAGAGACCAAATTAGTAAAATAAATATTTTCAACCTGAATATATTCTTTATATTTGAATAAATAGAAATAATCTTATCCTACAGAAGCAATTTTTCTTTTTCTGTATTATTTTTCACAAGCAAACCATTAATTGGTTGGAAGTAAAATATTAGCCGAAGCATATTTATGAAGTCTTTTCTGCTCACCAACTTTTGCTGAATTAGCATGTTATAATGCATTTCTGATGATGATATTTTCATACACAAAGGAATGTCAATCTTCAAAGTCTTAGAGTGAACCAGTAATGTTTATATAACTGTCAAATGTAACAGTTGTGCCCTGTTTCTATAAAGAGGAAGCTCTGAAAATCAAGCAAGTTATATAGTGAGCTCCAGTGCTGGGTAGAAACATGCGTTTATCATTTAGAAGTGCTTTTATCAAAATGCTCATTTATATTTAACTGCTACAATTTAGAGAAGCAGAACTGTTGTTTCTTTCAAGTTTATAACATTCCAAGAATCTACAATCTTGGTGTTCCTCTAATACTTTCAAATAAACTGACCTCATTAAACAATTCTTTCAAACAAAGAACATTTCGCATTCTTAACCACTCAGCAATTCTAAACAAAATTTAAAGCGCCTCCTACAACATTGTCATATAAAATGCCAGTCTAATACTTTTAGCCTCTTGTGACAAAGAAAAAGGGTCAAATCATATCTCCTAACAAACATATTACAGTCTTGTGAAATCCAAAGAGCATGAGAATAACACTGTTGAAGGATTGAAAAAAAAAAAAAAACCTCTGAGTAGCTGGCAACACCAGGAGAACGGTCAATGTAAACACTCCACTGTCAGTCCTTTAAAATTGGATCCTCGTAGCATATCTCATCATACTCTCCCAAGCCTATTTATCAAATAGCAATTAACCCTATAGCTTAAATCCTTAAAATGATAGAATCAAGTACAATGACCATCAAAGGGTTCATAAATGATAAGTCACAGATACTGAATTAAATCACCATCTCATAATTATTAACAATTAACATCAGTCTTGATTGGTCAAGATCAAAACAATTGAACAAAAGAAAGCTAACAGTAACAAGATCTTGCAAATTGCTTAACCAAAATAGACCACATAAATGTTGAATTAGTAAAAACCAACTAACAGACTCAAAATAAATAAAAACCAAAAAGTTGATAACTAAAAAGTAATGAAATACACCAGATAACATTTCTTTTTCCCATTTTTAATATTTTAAAACATCATCATGTGAAGATTTATTTTGTTGGTAATTAATATGTATTCATAAGCCCATAATTTTCTAAATCAGTCGAAGTATGGAATGATAGTGTGGTGGCTCTATTAAGAAGATACCCCCAGTTCCATATGACTTAAAGTTAAAGGTCAAGCCTAGACCCAAACAAACCACTATATTCTTAAACTGTAGGAACTAACCAATTCATCTGCTAATTTTCCAGGTCATAAATATCCCATAACTTGGAACCTTTATAAATAATCCTTCTCAAAAAGTGAATGCCAACGACAACAGTTCACTAAGGTGAAGACCTGGTATGCCAATGTCCTAAGGTCCATACCAAAAAGTCAAAACCAATTTAGTAAACCATCAAGCAGATCACAGGATAATAAGCTTGCCATCCCTACTTTCAAACTCCCCTAGAGAACTACAAACTTCAAGATTTTTTACAAAACTGCCAAAAAAAGGCTGAATCCATGTACACACAAAATACAATACAAACAAAATTAAATTTCATACACAAAACTTAAACCTACAAAGAAATGTACAAAGGAATCAAAAGCCACAAGTAAAACAAACTAATTGTCTATTTCCCTAAGAAAAGTAACTGTTGTCAATCAAATAGAACCAATAAGTATGACAAGATATGCTAACCTGGCACCTCGTTCTCTATTTTTTGGAATATGCATTTTTTCCCCGTAGCTGGGGTAGAGACCATTTGAAAACCCACTTCAATCATTGAAGAGAAGAGAAGAGATTGTATAGAAATCAAACAGTTTCATAACCGAAATCAAATAATTTCAAAACCATTTGACTTGTAGAGAAACAGATTTCAGGACATAGAGAGTAGAAATGGAAGTTTTTGTCACTTGTGAAGATGAGATCCAATGGTGTGAAAAAACGTTTCCCAACAAAAGAGAGAAGAAGAATTCAGCAATTTTCAAAGAAGTGAGTTACCTTTTGTAGAGTTATCATCCTCAAGGTCCATGTGGCTTCACTTGTAACTCCTTCAACTTCTACAACACCATTTACAATTTCACACCTCTGCAACATGTCCACTCACATTACAAGTCAACAAAACAAATAGGTAATTCACATAAATATGAACTTCTTTTGATTACAAGAAATTATGACGTATTTGGGAAAAGCAATAAGAAAACAAATAGTGCCAAACTACACAATCCACAGGTCGTACCACTCAATGAGTCACATTTTCCATACCTTATCGTATAGTGATCCATAAACCTTCTGGTATTTAGCTTCAAGGGCTTCTCTCTCCTAAAAAAAAACTTTGCCTTCCACTCATTATGTTGGCTTTGCAATGGTACAACAAAGCATTACATTTCAACATACCGAAAAAATCTACGTACATACTTTTTGAAACCATTTATATATCAAATGTTAAAGCCTATAGAGAAACATGGCTACAATATGACACCCAACAAGGACATTTCTATAAATAACCATATAATTAGCAATTTAACATCATTGACACGTTCCTGAATAGAAACTAAGCTACCTAATCTGTGCATAATATCAATTCAAAATAGAAAAAAAGTACAAGCTCAATCCTAAATGTCAACGCTTATTCTCAACAAAGCATAAACCCTTGCTACTTTTCCTAGTTCCTCCTCTTCTAAAAGTTGGTTCTGTCATGGTTAACGACTTTTCAATCCCCATGGAAGTGGTTCTTGAAGTACTTGACTGGAATTTCAATACAAAAAATGAATAATAAAATGTTTTCAAGATAAAATCTTGACAAGAAAAACAAAAACTCCACACATTCCGTTGTAACATTCTCGTGTACACATCAATACTACTAAACATTTGGAACCCAAACATAATGAAATAGGAACATATTAAAATTTGTAAATTCTAAGTTGTTTTCAATATTGCATTCTGAGTTATAGAGATCTGGATATTGCATTATTTCTTACACAAACCTCTATACTTAAAATGGCAATAATTTTTTGTATTATTTTTTTATATTTTAACACTAATTTATGTTCAGAAAAATCACAAAAAAACAAAAAAAACAAAACCCCTAGAGTTTCACCCTTACAATAGCATTTCTATACAATAGCATTTGAATTGAAACTAAAATTCTTGTTGAGTTAAGAGTAGTTTCTACAATTTGAATACAATTTTCTCTCTCTCTCTCTCTCTCTCTCTATATATATATATATATTTTGAAGTAAGGGAAAAAACTGCAAATTTTCTATTTCTATTTTGATATGCATATTAGCAAACATGTGGTGTGCATAATTTACACATAAATTAGAGTAAAGAGAAACAAGAACATCGAAACCACATGGTGGCACATCTTAGAAGACAAATAAGCATGGAAGCAGCTATCTACATACTAGATTGTCCAACCATCTCGAAAGAGCATTAAAATACAAAACTTAATGGAGTTCCAGTTCGCAAAAGCACCAATACAAAATACATAACACAGAGGAAAGCAGAACGTAGTAGGGAATTTCACACACCTGGTTGTCTGGTTGTGCACTTGTTGTTCTTGGTTTCAGCACTTCCGAAAAATGTAGAGTTCTGCCGCTTCGCTGCTACACCCTATGAAGACACCTCAACATTTTCTCAACTCAACAGCAACCGATACACTACCATAGGATTAAGATGTAATAGGCGACAGCAACAGTGGCAATTGCGCACTTCCACAAATTCAAGTTGGGGGCTTTTTCGTGGACCTGTGGGTCGGTGAAGACTGCTCTTCAAAGGGGCAAAATTTGTTTTCTTCCTCATAGTCGGTGTGGATGATTTGAATACACACCTTGCAGGTAGGAGCTTTGGGAAATAGCCAAACAGCAGAGCACTGGTTTGGGAAATTCTAGGAACCCACGTGCCCAGCCCAAAATCTGTGAGGAAAGAGTTGGAAATGAAGCAAACAACATCGTGGAAAATAGGGGTGGGCGCGGGTCGGTTGCGGCCACGAAACCTCCAATCCGCTATCTGTCCGTCAGATTGGCGGATTGGAGAAAATCAATCCGCATCCATCCGCCAATCCGGCGGATGTGGATTGAGCGGATTGGCAGTTTGGCGGATGGATGCGAATCGGTTTGGCGGTTTAAAATTTATAAATTTTCAACATAATTCAACTTGTGCACTTCCTCAAAAAAAGAAGAAAAAAGTATTACAGTCAATGACTTAAAAAAATATTATAATCATTGCATACCTCATTTAAAACAAGAAAGTTACAATCTGTGATTCTTAAAATATAATAACAATTCAAACCACCAAAACCATAAACAGAGCAGTAGTAGAGATTGAATGTCTCTATATTGTTACATCTACATATGTTTTTGAAAACAAAAACCAACCAGCATATATCATATTTTTTATTTATTATTTTTAGAGTTAGATTTAAAAACTAAAAAATATAGATGAATAATATGTTTATTTTTTTCAATTCAAAAATATATTCAAGTTGAAAACTTTTTTTCAACAAAATATTTAAACTCTTTTTCAATTGAAAACACAAACATAATATTTAAACAAATTGAAAATACAAAGTCTTATAAATTACTACAGGTGCTCGCGATTTGGCGGTTTGGCGGTTCGGTTGCGGCCAAAAAATCTCAAATCCGCCATCCGTCCGCCAAATTGGCGGATTGGAGAAAATCAATCCGCAACCGTCCGCTCGTCATCACGCATCCGTCCAAAATGCGGCGGATCGGTTCGGTTCGGTCGGTTTTGGCGGATCGGTATATCCGCTGCTCACCCCTAGTGGAAAATATCTCCAGGAAAAGCTTTACAAACCAAAGAAGCAATAGGGCTACACCAAGAAGCCCAGCGTTACACCATGTTACACTACTCTTATGTTCTTTTTATATATGTTATAAATAATTACTATTGACACAAATTTAATATAATCAGATAACTATTGATATCTGATCAACGTGATTTTTTGCAAAATAAATTACTTGACGAGATCTATATATTAAATGGTTTAAATCATCGATATGATTTTCATAATGGACCTACAGAGCCCAACAAAACGTTCCAGTTCAATTTCAAACTTGTGAGAAATTGTTCCCTACATTAATAAGTTAAATTAAAACAATATGTTTTTAAACAAATTATAATAAAAAAATTGATTCTTATAACAAATTAAATTTTGAATTTTTTAATTTAAATTTTAATATTTTTATTTTTATTCAATTTAAATCATCAATTTATTTTCATTAAGTAAGATTGACAAAAAAAAAAAATTGATATTTTAGTTTTTAGAAAAAAATGTATTTTAGATATTTTATAAGCACTTAAGTTTATTGACTGAAATATTAAATTAATAAAATTAACTTATTTTGAATATAAATTTTATTTTATTATAAAGGTTAAATTTTGAATTATTTTATTTTATTTTATTTTAATTTACCCTATATTTTATAAATATCCATTAAAGAGTATTGTGAATTGGGCTATCGCAAGAAGGCCTTCTTAATGGGATGGGCCGAAAAGGACTTTTTCGGGTGAATAATGGGCCCAAAAAGACGTTTACCCAAGTTCCTTATTTCATAATCATTTTCTTTTTATTGTTTTATAAACATGAGACCGTGAGTTTTAAAAATTCAAAAAAAAACATGAGACCATTCATAAGTAGGACCGAATATGATGGAAAAAAAAAATTACAATGAAATATTATATTTTAATATTTTTTATTTTCTAATTTGATTATTAGCGGTCTGCACACAATTCAAAAAAGAAAATAACATTATAAAAATAATGACAAAGATAAATAAATATATAATGTGTGTTACTTAACTGGTAAAAGCCTCCATTATTAAACCAAAACTTATGAGTTTGAGGTTTGTCCTCTTCTTTGCATAATTTTTTTGCGGAAACAAATATGTTTTGGGAAAATCCAAAACCTCTTATTTGCATAATTTTTTGCAAAAACTTCAAAATATGAGACACATTTGTGTCAACACCATCAGTAGCCTTCGCTTTATATATTATTGGGTAAATTACAAATACACTCCCTGATATTTGCTTAAAATACATATTGCTCCTTGTAATTTGAAAAATTACAAATACTCCTTTATTATAATTTTTCATTTAACATAATTAACTAAAAAATGAAATTCATAATTGCTATCATATACAATAATAAAATTACTTAAATTATTAATTGAAACATATTTTTAATATCATTAAAAATTGTTAATGGACTTGATGATTTATTAATAAAATGAACGATTTGTTATGGAATTAGAAGCCTCAGGGGATGGAATGTAATTTTCAAAACCATAAGGGGCGATTCGTATTTTAATCAAATCTCAATTAGTGTATTTATAATTTACCCTATATTATAATGAATAGACAGGTAAATCAGCATTGCTGAACATTTTATAAAATTCTCAATTTAGGATTCTATTGATTTTTATAAAAATTTTAAACTGTATTTGGATAATCAATTTGAATGTAAAAGGGGGGAGAGAAAAAAAATAAATAAATAAACAATTGTACTATCTACGTCAAGTTGATTAAATTGAAATTTAAAGAAAATTAATAATTAAATCAACTGCATTGCTAATGAAATTCAAATTTTCAATTGTGGTTCCGAATTGAGAAAAAAAATATTCATTTAATTTTGTAATTTTATTTGTTTAATGCCAAAGTGAAACCATATGCCGAAATTCCGCAAGATGATTACAAACGAAAAGACAGAAAGAGAAACAACCCAACAAGTGGGACAAAGTTGAATTTGGAAAGTAGATTAAAAATTAGTTTTTTTATTTTTTTAAAAAAAAGTTATATAAAAAAATGAGAGGTGATATGATTTAAAAAAGTTAAAAAATTAAAAAATTGACTTTTAACCTAGTTGTCAAAATAGACCGAGGATATTATAAGAGCATTTCCAACAGTTCACTAACTTTTTTTATCAAATCTGAGTAAAAAAAAGGCAAGTTGCCCAATCTAATATCTGCCGCTCCAACAATGGACTGTAGCTTTCATCAAAAGACCGAGGACGTCTGGGGGGACGACCGGCCGATTAATCGAACAAGGAAACTGAAATTTTCCCCCCCCCCTCATTTTACACCATTAATCCTCGACTCTACAAATTTCTTGTAAAACCCATCAAGATCTTCCTTTTTTGACATCGAAATTCCATCAAGAATGGAAAGAAACAGAGAAAGATTGTTGAAATGAATTTCTGGGCACTGAATTTCCCTCTGCTATCATGGATCAATGTTGAATTTATTGTTTGGCTGTGCGTTCATTTTCTTCATCATTTTCATTTTTGTGCACGATAGATTTCAAAAATTCAAATATTAATTTTTTGATATTTCCATAAAAATCATATTGTTTTTAGAAACAATTTGCTAAAGTTTTTTGTGTTTCTGAAAAACAAAAATAGAAAACAAAAACACAACCGAACAAGCCCACTGTTGAGACAAAACTAGAATTATTATATTAAATACTTGAATTCAAAATTGTAGTGGTGAAAGAGAACATCTGCAAAGCTCTGAGCAGAGGCAGCAAAGTCTGGTCTAGAGACCCTAAATGCAATGAGGAGTGTATATTTTTACACTAGACAAAGGACCAAGCTTTGTTTTTATAACGATTCTAGTTTTGACTCGTCACCTGTTGTATTCTAGACTCGGGTTTATGATTCTGAATGTTGTTCATTGTCTTTGCTCTTTATTCCTCCTTAAGTTTGGTTGTTTGAGCATTTTGAGTGTGTTTGGAACAGGTTAGTTACTTAGTTTTCAAACCTTGTGTTGTCCAGAATTTTGGTCTTCTACATGAGCGGGCCTTCTTGCGCTCGAGCGGGGTTTGCAAACACTCAGTATTTTGCACGTTTGCAAAAACTAGAGAAGTGTTTTACACGCTCGAGCGGCGTTTCCTACGCTTGAGCGGGTGGACGCTTGAGCGTCCCTTCTTGCGCACGAGCGGCTTGTCTGTTGTCTGCAAAAGTACTGGACGTGTGTATTCCGCGCTCAAGCAGGTATGTTTTTGTGCTCGAGCGGAACAAATTCTTGTGTTTGACGTTTGAGCGTCAACTCTTCCGCTCGAGTGGACTGTGCGTATATCAGATCGTGAAAATCACTTTTTACCTTACTTTTTCAAATCTATTCTTCTAAAAACCCTAAAGTGAGACACTCTCTCTCTAAAACACACACACACACTCTCTCTAGATTTCCACCTAGTTCTAGTGGTTTCTCAACCCGTGTGCCTTCATTAAAAATGTGGAGCTTCTCAAGATCTTCACTTTGATCCGAATAGAGTTGGATTTCAGTATCTTTGAGGTTTCTCTCTCTTGGCTCGTTTTCTCTCTTTGAGGTAGGGATTTTTTACACTTTGTTATGATTTTTAACTTAGTTATTTGTGGTTGTGTAACAATGATGGGATTTGGGAGTATTTTGAGCCAAACCTAGGGTTTAGGTGAAATGTGAAAGAGGGGTTTTTGGTGGAAATGAAATAAATGAACATGGGATTTGAAAATGAAGTTGTGTTATGTCAAAATGGGTGATTTTGGTATTTGGATTGGTATTTTGAAAAAAATAATTTTTGCCTTAAATTGATTATCATGTCTATTTTGTATAAATAGTTGAAATTGGTGTTGCAAACATGGAATTGAGTGAGTATTGAAATAAATGATGGAATTGAGTATATAATGCTTCACACCCTTGGAAATTTTGGATAAATTATCTGTCTTGAAATTGTATATCTGTTTAGAAATATCTGTATTGGGCTATCGGTGGAGGATAGCTTTGCTTGTTGTAGAAATTGCATGTGGATTAGGTGAATTGAAACTAGTCCATGTCATTGAATATGATTATGTTGTGAATACATTGCATATGTATGATTATTTGGGAGGAGAAAGGGAATGTACTCCATATGTGTGATTATGTTGCATATGTATGATTGTTTGGGAGGAGAAAGTGGATGGAC